CAAAATCTTAGAAATAAATAATTTCTCTTCGCAGAATATCCTAACATTGCCAAGAGAACCTGGGGATGACTCGCGTCCTGCTTCTGTTGGTAAACCTCTTCCTGGAATAGAAATGCTTGTAAGTAAAGGACTGATAAGAACTAGATCGAGTATGTATACAACGCTAAAGAGCGATACCTTGTTTACAAAGTAACCAAGAAGAATCAATGATCTTGAAACACGACCCAACTGATATTTCTGCCATTTTCAAACAGCCATTACCTTTAAAAATACAGAAAATTATGTTTAAAGTGAGTGGAGTCTGATTTGGCCTGTAATCATCCAATTGGTTAATTCGCTGAGTCCTACCAAGAGAATAAGTCGTTACGAGGGAGCAAGGTATCGTGCATATTGTGAAGTGATTACTTTTATGTGATTCAAGAAGAAGTTTTTAATAATCCGTTGATGAAGTACCGAAATTCTTTACAATTCCTGCTAGAGATACTTACAAGCCTCCGAATCTTCCCTCTCAAAATCGCAGAAAAACTCAGAGACTTTCCTGAATATCGCAACCTGTTCCCTTGGTTTGCGTTCTTAGCACACCTCATGTTCGTTACGCCTTTTTCATATTTCAGATTCATATATTCACTTGCTTATCTCCACCACCTGACGGGTATCAGTTACGAACTTACAACATGACCAGCTCCCAGTTAGCCTGATAACTCAGTTGATAGAGCACAGTACTGGTATAGCAGAGGCCATGGGTTCGAATCCTGCTCAAGCCTGCAATTTTGTTAGGTTTTATTTTCGCATCTGCCTAAGCTGCGTACAAAATTTCGATTTTTCTTCCTGTCTTAAAACGTTTCTAGATTGTTGACGACAATGGCAAAGAAGTGCCTCCAGGTACACTGGGAAGAGTTGTGATTGGTTCGAAGCCTTGCCGTCCAGTTGGAATGTTTACTTGTTACGTGGTAAGAAGGCGTAATAAAAAAAAAAAATAGAAAATTGATTCAAACCTAACCTGCATGTAAAGTAAGGTAATTTGAGGGCCTTTGGAGATTCGAAAGTGCTCTCAACTTATTCAGGAAGAGTTCCATATTTCTTTCTTTGGGGCGAGTTTGCATAGATTAGGTCGGTCATAAGGTAACACCATGTGGACCAGTGAGACAACCCGGTGGTCAGCAAGATCGCGATCGCATGCGATTTGATGAAAACTTGAGGCGATCAAGATGACCGGAGTATTCTCAGGTTGACTCTATCCCACAACAAACCAGGTTTTTCCAGAATTCATTCTTTATTCTGCGGCCGCCACTTTTTTTAGAACCTCGGCCAAAATTATTTCATTGGAAATGAAGAGTAGTCCCGACGTTTTGGAATAGTCTTAAAGGCTCTCCGCCGAGGAAAGTTGAACCATTCCTAAACCGGAAGGTTTAAAGGTAACACTTCTGTATAGTTTGTTAACGTTACCCAAATTCGCAATTAGCCAGGCAGAGGCCGATTCTTCTGCATTGATACCCTGCCATATCAAGTCAGTGACCTGATATGGCCAAATTTGGGATATCGCGGGGATATCAAGCTTGTTTGGTACCACCTTAGACTACGTCTCGCCAAATTACAAAGCAAGTCTTGACCAAACGAGCCTGATATATATGCATACCGCCAAAGCTTAGCAAAAATCTGCAATTGTCAACGATAACTGTCTAAATTAGGTATGAGAACTGCATTCCATAAAATTTGAGCCAAATCTCTGGCGTTATCCGTAAGCAGCAGTATCTGTTGAAAATCTTGAGGAAAGTGTGGAATGACGAGCATCGACGATTTTTTTGGAGGAAATTCTTTTAGGGGATATGAATGATTTCAAATACTCGAGTAATTATCAGGCCGGTGTAAGTTTTGAGGTATTGCTGGTATGTTATTGGCGTCAATTTCACGATCTTTCTATCCAGTGACCATTGTTTCTTGTAGGATGAACCTGAAAAAACTGCAGCATGTTATTCTGGTGATTTCTACGTGACAGGTGTGTAGCCCACACGTGCTCTTTAATTTCCACCTCTACGTTTCCCCCGAAACACATATTATATAATCAGGTAAAGGAACACCAACATGTTCCCACTTTATTTTTCTTCTTTTACAAACTGTCGTAATGCTTTATTTCAGAGCGCTAAATGGAAACGACCCTCTCTTACAGCACTCACCTTAATGTTCCTTGTTCGGTGTTTACTCATGTAGCTATTCACTTATTCGGACGTCCTTCCGTCCGTCTCTCTGTCTATCTGTCTGCTTGTCTGTTTGTCTGTTTGTCTGTCTGTCTGCCTGTCTATCTCTCTGTATGTGATAACGGCCGCGGAAGGGAGAAGACGAAGTTGTACGCATAAGACACAAACAAACAAAACAATATGGCGGACAAAAACGAACCTCGTGCGTTTATTTTGCCCATGATACTTCGCGACAAAATAAACATGTTTAAGGGAAGGAGGGATGGTGTCAGTGTTTTCATGTCTTCTTATCCTCAACATCTGTCTGTCTGTCGTTTTATGAAGGTGTGGCAAGCTGTTTGCCTTTACAATTATGTGTATCTGTGTCAGAGGTTCTTGTCTCTTTGTGTCTTGGATAGTCAGTTGTTCTTTCGCTAGTCCTCGTTAGCTCTATCCATGAAATGAGATCGGGTTTGTAACGTAATAAAACAAACTTCTCAGAAAGCAAAGTGAGCGTACTTTTCCAACTAACAGTATGCCAAAGTAAACGAGAAAGAACAAGAACGTAGTATGGCTGGGATGGGGAGGAGCGGGTGACAATTGTTTTTATAACACTTACAATGTTTCTCTTGTTTAATAGGCGATCTGGGTCGTATGGACGCTGAGGGTTATTTTTGGGTCGTCGGTAGAAGTGATGACATGATTATCTACAACGCGTAAGGAAATATCAATGCTTGCTAACGAGTCGTTATTGCATGATTTTCTATGGCACATCGCCAAATACTTTACAAGCTGTTTATACACTTAGTGACGTAACAATCACGTTGATGAGGATTGTTGTTCTCTCGGGATTGTCAGCTTTCAATCGATTTCATAACACAATCGTGGAATAATCATCTTATCCTAAAAGAAAAATAAAAACAGGACCGTGTAGGAAACCAGCAAAACGTTTCTGTACTTTAGTCTAAAAACCACCGAAGGTCTTTCTATTGTTTCACACAAAACGACGGTTCATCCGTTGTATGAGTTGATAGGAATCTATGTAACAATTAAAGAAGCCTAAGACATAAATAGATAAAATAAATAAATAAATAAATTACAATGTTTAGAGAGGAAGCCATGCGGGTTCTTGGTTTTTGTGAGGGAGGAAAGAGAGCCCGGAGAAAAACCTTTTTTCTTCGGAAAAAGAAGGAGAAAAAGAAGAAGAAAAAACAAAAAATGAACAACTTTTTTTCTCCCTTTTTCTTTGGAGAGCCCGGAGAAAACTGAACCCTCCGAGTAAGGCGAGAACCAGCAACAAACTCAACCCGTGTATGGCACTGGGCCGGAATGGAACCCAGGTCACACTGGTGGAAGGCGAGCGCTCTCTTCACTGCGCCATCCCTGCGGTGTACATGTATAACACTGTTTTTAGAACTTAACGTGAATTTGAAAATTTAGGGGAAAAAACTTATACCAGCGCCTTGTGCAGTGATTTGCATGTTTGTACCGTGTTTTAACAACATCACGCGTGGGTTCACTCCAGTTAACCCATACATCATTTACGAAATTGAAAACACTTTCCGTGCTTCTATCGTCGAGTTATGGAAAAACGAGTAGAAGTAATTAAGATCGATAAATGTATTGGAAACACAGGCCGCAAGCTCAGTTTTCGAGTTCATCCAAACTTTCACAAGTACTTCGATGATTCATTACCAACCGGAAGTAATGCTCCCCTCCCGGGCCATTTCTTTTCGAAAACACCGCGAGAACGCTCCATTTCATCGATAGTTTACAGCCCCTATGTAGGTGAATTCAATTTGCATTGAAGCTACATCTTTTTGTAGAATCAACATCAATCCTTGTGAGGTGGAGAACTGTTTGAAAGGACATCCTGCCGTACTGGACTGTGCTGTGGTCAGCAGTCCTTACATGATGACACAGGTAAACCATATATACAAAGGTAATTTATGCGGGATCTTCATATGTACTAACTAACACGGTAAAGACAGAGAAAAGGCAAAAGGAGATTAGTAAAACAGAGAAGGCAGGTTTTAGAAGTTCAATATTGTGGCCAAGCGGAGTAAGACGAATGTAAGACATGATACATACGCAGTCGAATTGTAAACTACGTGGGGACAAACTCGCTGGTGTTAATCGACGACATTGCAATATGCCTTGAAATTAACATGTCCTGCATTGTTATTTTGCAAATTAGCAAATGGTAAACGCCATAGCGTACACTGTTAAGTTATGGATGGACGCAGGAGGTTGCTAAGCACCAAAGAAGGTAAGAGTCGCTTGAGGCGATAGCCGAGTGCGACTCTAGGTTCTTGAGTTCTTAGCAAATCTCCCAAGTACATCCATAGCTCAATAGCATATAGCTGTGGCGTTTACCATTTGTTTTATAACATAACGTTGACACATTGGAGTAAAAGAAGTCCTTTCATTGAGCTACATCACAAAAGCACACACTTCAGCAGCGTACACCCATTGGCAAATAGTAGACGATGAATTAACCAATGAAAGCGCGTGCTTTGCTTTAGTTATGTTATAATATTGCACATCATATACTTTCGCTGGACGTTTAATTACAATTCACGCGACTGAGCAGCGACGATGAACTGAGGCTAAGGGTATGCCAAGTTATTTATACTGAATTATTGACCCTGTTCGGTTTAAACAACCTCGAGAATGATGTCGTGTGCATATCTTCTACTTAATAGAGAAAAATCTCTGATGAGTAGGGTAGAATCGCCCACTGGGTTGGTTGCAATCAGCAACGTTAGGTATTGAAGCGCAAACATCTAGTTTGTTCGTTTTTCTTTTCCCAAAATCGAATTGATTTTCACATCAGTTTGTTCTAATAATTCAAAAAGTTTTCAATCTAAGCAAAATCAACAGTTCAGTTTAAGGCTTGGAGAAGAGAAGAGCAATTAGTGTTGTCAAATAACAAGAAAGAAAATGCCACCGTCAATTTGGTTATTCTCGATCTCGATTGTTCCATGCAACTTTAGTTTGGGCCCTCATTGGACGAAAAAACGGAAAAAAAACAAAGAAGTACTAAAGGTGTTTAACAGTTAAAGTGCTTCTCCTGTTCCTTATGGCAAATGGCCATATGATTAACGTTTTACTGTGTCCAGTCAAAGTTACTCAAACCTACTAAGTATGGTCAAACTAATCAGAAAGTTTCGGAATCTGGAATCTATCTAAAGGAGTATATACTCCTCTGAGTGAAGAGGACGTTGTTGATATCATGGAATTTTTTGTTTTTGTAGACGACGAAAGCGTTCATTGTGTTGTCAAGCGGCTTTAAAGAGAGAAATCAAGATGAACTGATAAAGGAACTACAGGATCATGTGACGTATAACACTGGAGCTTGGATGTGTCCCAAGAAGGTAACACTATCGCTGGACTAGATTGTCAAAATAGAAGTGTTAACACGTCTGCTTAAGCTTTGTTGCCTTGTGTATGGGATTAGATCTTAAGGAATTCTAACTACCTAGATAAGAAGTTTCCCCACTTAAGTATAGTATTCACTTATGATAATTTAAGTTTTCCCTTCCTTGTATCGTATTTTCAAGGTTTTCAAAGAGTAGATAATGACTAGTTGATCGGTTTACCAGCTGAGCAGCTTACCGAAGTACAAAGGAATCAACTTGCAAACCCATAATATCTATTATTTACTTTTGAAATCGGCACCTTAAGATCCCGCGTTATCAATTAACGGTTTAACGGTAAACTAACTCGTTAATTTAAATTCACGAATTATCTGTTTCCATGCCTCATCCATTAAAATAACTCTATGTATCAGTACATAACGCACAATCTCACAGTTAACTCCAACGGAGAGCTCACGCTAACGGGTCGCCATGGTGGTTAATTTACTTTTATCAACGTCAAGTTGATAAACAGGCTCGATTTCCACCGCTCTCTCGTGCCCGAGCGCGGGCTCCCTTCCTGAACAGCGACTGGCAATCGAGCCTAGTTGATAAACAGCTGAGTGTTTTACTTGCCCGTCGACGCAGCTTGACAGTTTCTTCAAGAGAAACTGATCATTTTACGACTGACGAACTGTTTGATTAATTGATGCTGACTTTATGATTAGGGCGGTTTTCATTTGAGTGTCGAAAAGTAGTTGGTTTTGCACTTTCTACGCCACGCGATTGGCTCAAAAAACTCGCGCCACTTTTTCATCCAATCAGAGTTACAACCAAAACCAATTGTTCGCGTTCGTATGCATTTTCCCTCTCTTCACGTCAGCTATATGTAATTACTTCAAATTTTGATTGGTTCACTGTATTGTCTATGTCCTTTGTGATTGGCTGGAGTGATTACTTTGGTTCTGGTTTTACGACTCTCAATTGAAAACCACTCTATGGTATATTTTAATCTATTTTTTTTAAAAATTCCTTTATTCCTTTTTTAGTTCCTTAATTTTCTATCAAGACAATCATGGGCAAAAAAGAGAAACCATTGATTAAAAACGTTCTATATTTAACATGGAGTCATGTTATACCTTTCACAATGTTTCGTTTCCTATATCCCGGGCGACCCAGTTATTCTTGAAAGCAATAAGCAGTGTTTACACCTTTCAGAGCGATAGTGGCTCTGACACACGGGCAGTCGAGCGGAAGATGTAATCAACGCTCAATTGGAATTGTTTGTTTGTTAATTTGTCAATATTTTTTCCACTTTTAATTGATTGATTGATTGATTGATTTAACATATAGACATATTTTAACCGACGGACCGACACACGCTTCGTGAGAGGGCGATGGGAGACGTAGCATTTCATGGCGATGGCCTAAAAAGGGAAACAACTAGCCCGATCTGGAAAAAAAAGTTGTTATTGTCAAGTACACATTGAGCCACTATTTTACTTTACAGATGGAATTTATTGAGGATCTTCCTAAAACTGCAGTGGGCAAGGTCAGCAGACGAGAGCTAAGGAATAGGGAATGGAGTATAGAGTAGGACAAAGGACGTCGAAGGAACTAAAAGGCGGTGTATGGCATTTACAGACTAATATCATATTCCCATTTCTATTATCGAGAGCTAATCGTAAACAGCCTAACCTGAGCGTTATTCAGGCTAACCTGAGTGATCGGTCAGAATAAGCGGAGCGCTATTTAGGCCTATGTGTAGTCTGCATTCTGTAAATGTCATGCACCGCTAAAAAAGCAACTAACTCATCTACAACATATATTTTCTCTCCTGTGCGAAAATCACTCCTAAATAATTTTTTTAAATAAAGTTTTAAAACTTACATGAGTTAAAATATCAATTTTTTTATCGGGATTAACTAGCCAGTCAGTCAATCACTTAGTCAATCAGTCTGGCTCAGTAATCATTGTGTTTTGTGGTATACCTGTCAAATTTTGTTTATATGTGTATTGATGTGATACAGAACGTTACATATTACTATAATGTAATAAATAAAGGCAGTGTCTCGTAGGAAGGTATCATTGTAGATTTGTTATTAGCTGCTCCATTTAGCAAATAGGCGATTTGCATGATACCGTCATGGAAACTACCAGAATCCTTCACTTTTTCTGTTTCTTATGCTAATTGAGGCAATTGCTATTGAAACCCCTCTGGGAATTCAAAATTTAAATAATAAAGAGATAACGAAAGGAATTCTGGTAGTTGTAGTCAAATGACGACAACGTGCAAATCTGCTATTGACGTCAGTTTTCCAGCGCCTGTCCTGTGGATCCACGAGGCGATATGGTCGAGTGGATCCACAAACTACTTTGACAATGTTATGATGAAATTCATTGTCACCTGACTAACTGGACAGACGCATGAAAACTGACGTCAATTGTTTTTAACAATAAATTGTAAATTCATGTTTCGGTCTGCTTGTTGACAATAAAACAATAGCCAATGAGCGCTCAGGGATTTCCAAAGTTATTGTAAAACACTGTTTAGATCGCCGCTCAATTTACGAGCACGAGAATTTTAGACGACTTGGGTTGGCAATAAATAGCCAAACTAATCTCAATATAGCTGGCTAACAAAAAATGCGAAAAAGGAGTCTTACCGGCATATTTGTTCGTCCGACATGAGGAAAAAAGATCTCTCCTCGACAGCGGACTGGTTTCTTCTGTGAAAATTGTGTGAACTTAGAGCGGTTTGACCTTAGCGTTCCGTACGGTAAAAGTACGTGCTCTTTGATTTACAATCGAATGTAAGGCCATGCAACTTTATTTTTCGTTTAGCATCGAATGATTTTAGGTCGGCCGTTCGGATTAAAAAAAAAATAAATCAGGGGTAGTCTCAAACTAGGAGACAGGTAACCCAGCGTCATTGCCGTGGAGCCTGGAAACAACCACGTGGTTGCAAAGTCAACATGGTGGCAATGGAGGTCGAGGGAGGCAAGATTGATGTGGTGGTTAAAAGTCAAACGAAAACGTGGAAAAAATATTCAGCGTTAAGAAATGCGGTTAATAAAATCTGTATTTTTTTAAAAGCTATATTTATTTTTCAGATTACATTTTATTTTTTTTGAAAACGCGAAAATTTCGATTGATTGGAGGACGCTATACGGAGAATGGTGATGGGCTAAGTTATGTTTTACGCGTACTTGAGGACGAACGAACAATTTTGCTTTTTGTATTCCGTTATTTTCAGTGTTATTCACTTCCGAAAATTATTTGCCAGGAGGATAATGATGCGGAGAAAGCTGTAAAGAGACGAATGATCATCGTAGTTACATACACAACTTAATCAGTTGTGAAAATAACGTCTGAAAAAAATTCAGGCTTTAAAAAATTGTATTAGATTAGGTCTTCACAGGGCCTTCACCCGCGTGAAGCAAGAATTCTCCAAAACATGAAAACTTTAAAAGATCTGATCGAAAGGATTGTGGTTTTAGTATAAGTAGATAGACACCTTTATTTAAAAGTAAAAATGTAAAGGTAAAAATTTTAGGGTAATCCCTTCAAGGAGCTTACAAAACATCTCTGCTAGGAGCCCTGAAAATGTTTCGCAACACACCAGAAATGAGTGAAATATATACTTTTCAACTCAGATCGACCGGACCGCTTTTTAAGAGACTGCCTCTCATCAACTAATCAACCAAAGAAATTTGAACAGATTCAACAGTTTCTGATCACAGTCAAGCTGATAACTGTGGAGGCGGCGTGGCCTAATGGTTAGGGTGCTGGATTTGTAATCCGGAGTTCCCGGGTGCAAATCCTTCTCCCTGCCACTGGATGGATTTGTGTTTGGTAGTTCCAAAGTGAACTCTTCTATGCTTTGTTAATAACTCGCCGGTCAGCCTCCTGTCAGTTGGGATTTTTAACAAGTTTCTGTTCAATTTTACAATATTTGTTTGCTTATTTCAATGTCCCCAATTAATACAGTAGTGCCAAACCCTTCGACATTTAAATAAAGTGATTATCTTTTATCTTTAACAAAGATAAAGCTTTTCTGTGCTAACATTATCATAATTTTAGGGTAGCTTTCAAATTCCTAATTGCTTTAGGGTAGCTGCCGATTTCACCCCCACATCGACTTAAAAAAAAAAAGTTTTAAACGCAGTACATACTTTTAAGCGTCGTTTATCTTTCAAGGTCAACCGATCGATCAATGGGCTTTATTTGATTTTGTTGCTTTGCGTCTGCTGCAACAAGCGAAAAATCATCAACTAAGCTTATCAAATATACATAAACTGAAATGGTTCTTCGAAAACGTTTAATAACTCGATAACAACTACGTAAACGTTTAATAAAAAAAGTTTTGAACGAAATCTAACACAAAATTTTGGGGCAAACTCGAAATAGAAATTTTATAGTGGGGACGAACTCGCCATGGGGCGAAACCGATATCATTCTTATTCCAGCAACATTCACTGGCAACTCCACTGAATTAGAATTAATCCCTGTTGAGACTGAAATAGATATATAATGTGCCAGGCTAAAGTGGTCTTAAAGTACTTGATACCTTGAACAAACTCTTAGTTAATATAGTAATAAATCTTGTTCTGGAGGAATACTTTTTATTTTGCTTTTAATAGCCTCAAGCCGCTGTTTCTTGTAGACCAACCCGATACATCTCGGCTCTCCTGCGCGGTGCAGAAAGCGCGGGAATTGGAATGATGCCGATTCCATTATTGTTGCGGTATCGTAAGAAGTCGATTATTCCTCTTTTGATACGGTTTTCGCGCCAATAGTAGATAAACGGATCCAAGCAAGAATTAACTAGCGCCATTAACCCTGTCCAAGATAGGAACAGAAAAGATTTTCTTCCCATGGAAATGACACCAAGCCAGACGAGAGTCAGGGAAAGAACTAGCGGCATGTGGCAAAGGATGAAAGCTCCCTTGACGTGTATCGTAGTCTTCAAGGATTTTCTCTGTTTAAGGATTCGTCTTGTGACTTCGGGGTCTGTCTGGAGCGCGGCTATCGCATTACGATGACGTTTAACGACGTTGCACATCTTGAAATACAAGAACCCAACGACAACAAACAAGGCAGCGAAACCCCAACCTGCGCAGGCAGGAAAACGTTTGCCGGAGTGATGCATACATGTGTTTTTTACGACCAAAATAATTAACCACGCACTCCATGAAGTTAGTAAAACTTGAAGTATCCGCCTCCTTGTGACGAGTGCTTGATATTTGAAGGGTTTAAAAACCGCGAAAGAGCGCTCCGCGGAAATTAACAGTATAACAATGACGGTGAACACAATGCATATCTGAAGAAACACAAGCATGAAGGAAGCCAAGATGCAGTTTACATCGGCCATGACAACTTGCCATTGGTAGGCGACGAAGAGCGGTACAGCAATGGCTCCCGTCAGTATATCCACGAACGCTAAGGCTTCGAACAAAATGTTCTGGTTCGAGGAAAACACTGGCTTGCCATGAATCGTTATCAACACCAACAGATTACTTACGACAGCTACAATTCCAGTGGCGATGCAAAGAAGTCCATTTAATAAAACTGAGATCAGCATGGGATTTGTTTCATGAACTTGTGGCACAAATAAAATAGGACAGTCCAAGGTTTCGTTTGAGACTTGTCGGTGGTGAGAAGTCGCCATATCAGCTACACTATACTTTGATTCTTCCTTTCACACAGGATATTCTTTGGAATGTTAATCATAGCACGTAGAGTCGCTTGAACTCATTAATGTCAAGGTTTACTAATCTGACGGCGTTTTTGCACGTCCGCTCCTCTTTGTATTTCCAACACAAAGGTTCAAAAGAAATCTTGAACCGCAATTATCTAGTTAGAAGAAACTGGTTTAATCGATTATCCCAGGAGAAGTCTTTTGCGCTAAATGGACCAATCAAAGGGTGGAACTGAACAAAACAAAGCACGCGAAATTGCGTTAAACATCTTTGAGTCTTGATGCAAAAACAACCATTAACCATAGTTTTAACTATCTTCTCGACTATTCCTATATCGACAGTTTAAATCTGGAGTTTAGCACTGAAGGGAAGGAAGCATATCCAATGCGTTAGTTTAAGTTTTTCACAGTGGAATTTACCGTGTAAGTGTACTGAAAGTGCAGTTTACGTTGAGGTTTTGTCAGGTTCCTGTTCGATTAAATGCACCGTGTTTTCAAAGCAACACCGAAAGCACCAGGAATCACGTTTACAATGCGTTTTTGACCAGGTGTTTGTATTCTTTGAATAAATTTCAGGTTTAGACTAATTACATTGTTTTCTTTTGTTTTACTCTTGAGTGCTCTTTTGCTCTGCAAGAACAAGAGAGAAATTGTTGGATGTTTGTTAGGGACGTAATTCAGATTACAAGCGATTTTACAAATCAAAAAATACATATCTGGAAGAAAATGATGTTTGACTTAGAGTTTCGCCCATGCTTTGTTTGATATCAATGAATTAAGCATTTTACATGATATCAGTGCGGCCATGTTATTGTCCAAAACAATGAAAGTCCTTCTGTTTGTGAAACATAACGTTCTCTTCGTATGTAAACATTTTCTATTGTGTGGGAACACCGAAATAGCTGACATGAACACATTTTTAAGGAAAAAGTAACTAATGTAAGGTCTAAAAATAGATTGCATTATATCTGGACCCCCTGCGAAACTCCGACAACACTAGCATGTCCTGAGAAAAACAGCTAGAAATAGAGGGAATGCAGCCGAAGTTTTCGTTTCCAAAAAGTGCTTTAGCCACCTCATTTCACTCAATATGCTTAGTACCAAGCACCGCTGCTGCTGCTGCTGCCGAAAAACTGCATCAATCGCTGAAAGAAATGCTGGAATTAGACGACGAAAATATTAATGCCATTTCCGAAGTTTATAATTTGTTTATGTTGTAAAACACAACTTGTGCAATTGAAATTGATTTACGACCTGATTTAGAGGGTTTGCCACAGGCACCCTTATGAATCTAATTACTTTGGTCTCTTGAGTGACGACCTGAAAGATAACATCAGGCTACAACAGATTCGGAAGCCAACCAAACCAAATCCTNGATTACTGAGCTCAAAAAATGAATGTCGGTCTATCCACAAAGGAACGCGCAATTATTTTGGAAGGTAAATTAACTGCTGCAGAAGTAAAAACAAGCTTACCGACTTGAAATCTGTCATTTTAATTGCATTAAACATTTGTTACAACAGTTGTCCTCTCGGAGCACAACTTAGGAATACAAAATACACGCAGGCACCTGAGGCTAGGGATAGCTAGGTAGAAAATTAACGGCATACAGGATATTTAAGGGAAAATTAACGGTCAGTGTCAAGTGCAGACTGCGGACTGCAGACGGCCGACCTGGGGTGAAATGGAGACTGAGGGTAAAATGCAGACTGCAGACTTTTTAACTGAATCCCTAGAATCATGATACCATTTCCATCATTTAGCTCCGCTAACCGTAAACAGGCTAACCGGAGCGTTATTCAGGCTAACCTGAGCGATGTTCAGGATAACCTGAGTAATATCCAGGCTACCCAGAGTGCAGACGTAACTCCGACAGACCTGAATAACCTTGCTTAAGGTTAGCACTCGATAATTGAAACATCACGATATAAACTTTAAACGTCTACCCGCGGTCCGCAGTCTGCGTTTCACAGTGACCAAAAAAATAAATGGAATATGGGATATTTAGATTACGTAAAACGGGAAATTGAGGAGGAAAATCTTTAGTGTTCTGAATTTTTTCACTTGGAATTGACAAGATACGCGATAGTTACGCCAAACATTAATGGGATGTGAGATACTCAGACACTTCTAATGGAGCCTCTTGAATTGTTTTAAAAAAGCTAACACCTGGAGTTTTAAGACCAACTGCTTAGGTATTTTACATATCTGATAGATACTCCTTGAGTTCTAAAGTGAAGTGAAAATTAAAGTGGAGTAAAAATTAAATTATATCTAGGTAGCAGCATATCTAGTTGACTCTGCTCTCTGTATTACACGAAACACCAGTGTATAGGAACCTAGCAGATTAAGAACCTAGCAGATGAAATTTGGAAATTAGCCCCTCATTATATAAAAACCCATTCAGCATAAAATTTAAAATTAAATAGGTTTTTCTTTGTAAAATCCGGTCAATTTAGTTAATTCCAAAAGTAGAAATTGTATGAGTAGTACAAGTGAATAAATGAAAGATCATATATTTGAACATCGGAGAAAGATATGAAGATATGATTGATCATTGCATCGCAGATCAATCATAACTCCATTGTCTGAGTAGAAAGAACTTTACGACTAATACAACACTGCACATACCCGGCCCCAGTTGTTCAAAGAGTAGAGAGTGCTACATATCCACCGGATAAATCACTATCCAGCGGATAAGTGTTGGCAAAACAAACTACTTTATCTACTGGGTAGCAACTTATCAGGTGGAAAGCGTTATTCAACCTTTAACAATTGGAGCATGCTTTATAGAGTTGCCTGTCTATTGTCGGATTATACAAATTCCAAAACTTATTTTTGTATTAGGATCCTGTATTTTAAAATGACCTCACGAAGTAGAATACACTTTTAAATATACACTTAAAACAGACTTAGAATACACAAAACGAACTGGAATATAAAAATTAAAATGTTGTGACAGGCCTGCAACTGAACAGCCTGATTTCCCACTAAACAACAGATGTATAACAACCAGTTCGGGCTGAACTATGAAAATGTAGGTTCTCATACACGCCTGTTAACTGTATTCACAAGAATTGTCATTTTCACTGGATGGATGTGAGCTAAAAGTCAGCATGAATGGTGTTAGGTACACTATAAAACATTAACTGTACATGAAACACAGTCTTGTCATCCTACGTGCAAAAGCTGTTTTTTTT